TCCATTAACCAAATTACTCGTAAAACCACGTTACTCGTAAAAAAGCGATATTAAAATAAATCTGCGTGTTTAGGATTCTACAATTAAAATAACCGGAACCTTCAATAAATACAGTAACATTATTTTGGGGTTTAACATTTCTTTTAAAATTTTTGTAATGACCAACATCAGACACGTCGTCTAGCTGTTTCGACTAAGGAGTCATTGACAATTATATCTATGATAATGATAATTATATATATTATATTTAGTGATTTCGACACATTACTTGACGGTAAACTATTGCGTACAGCCATAGATAACTGATTAGTAGCCGCGATATGTTAACCTCATCTGTGTTCGATCTGTGAGGATGAATTTAGACTTCACGGACTTTCACGTATGAAAAGTGCTAGAAGATTATCCCGTCGTAGTTCTATGAACGACGCTGTATAATTTCTCCGTGAACTGCCGGCGAAAAAGGAATCGACTACCCCAAATCATTTTGCGGGTGTCGTAAAAAGCGACGGAGGTAAACTAAAACAGGAGAGGGACAGCAGTATCTTCCTATTAAAAACTTTAGTAATATAAAACTACGATTGCAAACGAATAACCCCCCAATGAGGAAAATTATGGGTAAGGCCGATGTTCAGGAGTGGATTTTGGTAAGCTGTAGTGAATAAATAGTGATGTTCCCTCGATTTTAGATTCCGGTGGAAGATTTAGAGATGATGGCAAAAGAGGAAAACGGTTTGACTTTAACCCCTAAAGAGAAAGGTAAAGTCCTTGTGGGGGATGCTTGATACATATAATACATTTTATCTTAAAGATTTATGGCCGGGGCACAACAGGAGTGACTTAGTTCAAGTCTCAATTCGAGTATCTGAAAAAAAAAAGACTATATATTTGTGCCAGTTGCTGTAGAAGACTATCAGCCCGAGGTGTCCAAGCGCGGTCTAGTTTTAAAATTATATGTTCCATTCTAAATTAGTTCATCGTCACTACTGCGCTGGTAAAAAGAGGGAAAATTCCAGACAGACACGACTAAAGGACCTTTAAGAATACGAGTACTTGTATAAGGTATAAGGAAACGCTACCGCTAATGTTCTTTTGTTTTTAGTTTTCTTAATTAATATTATATAAATGTTAGGCAATAAAATATTATCTATAGTAATTTTGTATTCATTAATTTAGCTTACATAATTTAAAAACGAATTATGTATAAAAATCCTAGCTTGGTTGTCCATCTCATGTTACCTGACTATTTGACTTAAGGAATCAACACAAAATATTACTTATTACGCCTTAATTTATTTTTAAATTATAGAAAAGTTATTTCTGGCCACATGAAGCCATAATTTAAAATAAAAAAGCTATTTGCTGTTGCTTGCGTTATTACACTAGAGTTTGAGGTTGTGCGAAGACAAATGATACGTGGGAGTCAATCCCCGGCGACCCCACGAGTTTCATTAGCAACAACATTAATGAACTAGCAATATTTTAATGAGAAAATTCTACGTGCTGCTCTTTCCTATTGGCCATTTTTTAAATCTTTCGGAAGAAAACAGAATAACTTTACTTCAATATCATTAATAAAATTAACATGCCTTGTACACAAGCCCTATTAATTTTATGTGTAGCTCTACAAAAACATATGCATTATGTAATACGAGAACAAAAGAAGAAAAATACCTGCATCAAAAAAACATTTAATGACAACATTTCACAAAAATTCGAGAAAGTATATTGTAAATTTCAGTTCATAGGTCATTAGAGTATTTACATCTAAAGCCACAGCGGTAGAGCATGAAGCATAGAGGACCGAATACCTTTTTTACTGGAATCGAGGCATTCCATCTTAGTCACAATGCATTTGCATTTTGATTCTTAATTGAAAATAAATGTTGATGTCTATAAACCACAGCATCCATTTACCATCAGGTGAACTGTCCGCTCATTTGTCACCCAATGCTATATTTAAAAAAAAACTACTTACCATCACGTGGACTGTAAGCGCGTTTGAAATTTCATTTTTGTACAAAAAATATTTGATGGTAGCAAAATTAACATCGCAGAAGATATAGTACTCAAAATTAAATTTTTCGAACCGTTGGGAATGACACATGAAAATGACTTACATATTTTAATTTCGGACTAAAACTGTTTAAAACTGTATAAATTGCTGTTTAGTGTTGTAATATGAAAACACACACAAGACGATATAAAAAATAGCTCTATGAATTTTTTTATGTTCATTGTATTTGCCTTTAATCTTATTTGGTCGTGAGCGGTGTCGTAACTGTGTGTAAAGCCATATGCATACATATAAATTAAAATATATTTATACTTAGATGTAAGAAAATAAAGTTTCGTTTGTTAAATGTAATTTTTTTCAATCTACTAAAGTTACTACGTCTGTCCGGTACAGAAACGGCAAGAGAAACTCTGCAGTTATCCTCTTTTTTTTAACCATCCATACACGTGTAAACTCATATCTATACACGGCACGGCGTGCTTATTAATAACCTTGTGAAAATGCCCTAATAGAAACGTTTTTAAAGGGTAAATCCCCGAATATATTTAAAATTATAATGGTTATAAAAATATAAGAATATAGGTTGCATCTGTTGGCTATAGGTACTACAAATTGTTGGATAAACTTTTAAAAAGTTTCTGTTAACATAACTTCATCTTTGTAAAAACTTCTAAAAACGAGTAGCTTGACTTTCTATCCTTTCTTTTTCACATTGATTTTTTTTTCAAATCTGTCGATTGTAAAATTATTGTTTGCATCAAATATTGAAAGTAAGTTAAATAAGTTCTTGAGTAAAATATATCGCAGTCGGCCAGGCTTTAATCAGTACAAAAATAACAAAAATGCAAATGTATATCAAGTATCACCTTAGTTACAAATCCTCAAATGTTGTACGAGTACCAATGTGTTTAAAGTTTTGCTTCTTATCAATGTCTATGCATTTTGTAGATCTCATAAGGCGTATAAAATCTTGCCTCGTTTCTTTGCCCCGCGCCACCCCTCTAACGGAGGCAGGGCTCCGACTCTATCAAAACACCGACTCAATCATTCGTCAATCGTACTGTTGTAGGAAAAAGATAGAAATATTTCCGCGCCATTTGTACGAAAGAGAAACGTGCTATCGACTACTGAACGATTATCGAGTGAATATTGCCAAAACGAAAGACAGCAAATGTGATAGGTACATTGCTTATGTTAGCGTTTCAGATACAGAAAAGGTCTGTCGTAGGAGTAAAAGAGATGTACGTTTGTTTTTTGAGCTTTTTCTAGTTTATGAACATACACGTTGCTAGTGTATGAACATTCGTAAATTGCTTGAAGCAACATGGCGTACGAATTATAAGCGAAACCATTTATTTAGTCAGAGTTTTGTTTTGCTATGCGTGTCGGCATTCGGAGTAATTGTTGTTTCGATACGGTACGGGTATGCAGAACTCTCCCGCCTCTATTAACATTTATGATATATTGTTTTATAAAAGTTAATGTTATAATTTTATAACTGTGTTGAAAGGTGTACATGTAAAGCATAACTTAAAATATAATAGACTTTAGTTATACCGATTTAAGTATAAGAAATTTATAACCTATGTACTTAAAAGAAATACCCTTGACTTTTGATAGATACCACGTTCATTTGTATTTTTTGTTATGTAATAAGTCTGAGAAACGTGCACACAGTCCACCTGTAACACTGGTAATGGTAAGTGAATGTTGTGGCCCGTAGAGATCTACGTTTATCTTCGATTAAGAATCAAAATGGAGATACGTCGTCACCGCTGGGGACTAAAATGGAATCCTTCGTTTCCAGTAAAAAGGGTCTCCGATTCTCTACACACACCACACGAAACACAGCAGCATTGAGTTATTGTTCTGTGAAAGCGTAGTCTTTCCCCAGTCAAGGCGAGTTATTCGTGCTGCAGCCATAATATACTTGCAGCGTGGCACTACTACATAAAAATTATGTTCACAGTAAGAATAATTTAAATAAAAAATGCTGGGTGCGTTTGGCAGAAAAAAGCCCTAGCAAGCGCTTGTAAGCAAAATGGCGATCGTAAGCGGTAAGCGCTGTCAAATCGTAAGTAGCTATTTTCCTCCAGGACACGATGTTAGTTTTAACCGGGGAACCTAACCTAATTTAAATATATGTTTGTAAAGTATTCATATTAAAAACCTACCAATCATGAATTTTTAATAACGTGTATATGTTTATTCACGTTATTATATTACTTAAAACTAATATTGCACAAAACAACTTAAAAACTCTACTTCAAAACAAACAAATTAAATAAGCAAAATGGCGGATTGTGTCACCGCTACTGAAGTAGTAATCGTGTCCTGGCCGAAAACTATTTCAGCGCTTGTAAGCGCTTGCTAGCGCTTTTTTCTGCCAAATGCACCCGCTGTCTTCATCCTCATGGATGATTTCCTATTTAGTAAATTGTTAGAATTTAGTTGCAAATACCTATGTTCCGCAATAGCCACATACCATCAAGTCACAGAAATCTAAATATTATTTAGATTTCTGTGACTTCAAGACATCAAGTAGACTGTTAGATTTGTTGCCAGTCTAATATAAAGGACGTTACTTATGATTCAAACTCAATGTTATAAGCTATAAAAACTTCATTATTAAGCCCTTCAGGATAATCCGCCACCGCTGACCATTCACTTACTATTTATAAGGACCTAAAAACAACTAGTACAGTGTCGATTCGGTTTTTTTCTCCGATCTGCATTCATCTTTTATGAAGTTTGTTTATGTGCGCACGTGAAAATAAATAAATAATATTATAATATTAAAAAATCAAATAAATAAACAATTAATATTATTACGAATTTTGCACAAAAATAGGACTAGACCCCAGAACTCACATCATAATTTAAAGATAGTCGTGTGATCGCCAAATAACATAAAAATTATTATAAGCCTTTCGAAAATAACAAGAATTTGTGGAATTAGTCTCTTGAATTGAGTTTTCTCTTGCAGTTATGTACCAAAAGCGGCTCAAGAAAGAACGAAAACAACGACAACAGATTCAAGAACAGTTAGAAAATGAACTGAAAAGGCGGCAGAAGATAGAGGAAGCGCTTAAACAGTCCGGAGCTCCTGCAGAAATACTCAGAATTGTCACTGGTAAGCAATGCTTTTACAATTTTCTCTCTCTTAAGTCACATCAATGTCTTTCTCACCCTACAACTATGTTGGTTAATTTAAAGAGTTGTTAAGCTATTGCATAGCTTCTATCACGGGCCTTGAGCGCGGGGACCGAATCCTGAAATTCCGTAACGAAAAAACCTCACGCTTCCCACTCCGACGGGCACGGAGGTGTGGCGTTGAAAGCCGTGCATCGTCTAACGTCGTTTCAGTTCGGCAGATTTCGGCACTCGGCAGACTTCGGCACGGTGTTTGTGTGCGTGCGACTAGACGTATGCGTGTACACTAGCTGCTAACTCAATGATAAAAATTCCTGAATAACCTACATGTATTGTAAGATATTAAAAATATTTTAAACAATATTAACTTCTCATTTATTCAATAAGAGAAAAAAAATTGTTTTCTTATCGGTCACCACGCTCAAAAAGTGTAACTTGATTTAATATCAAAGACTTAACTGCATAAATAAAATAAATAAATAATTATAATTGCATAAGTTGATAAAAAATGCTATGCAATAGCTTTACCGCGGCAGTCACCGAGTGCCACACGTATTTTTTTTCGATTTTCTCAAATTCACGGAGAGATCTTTGGGTACCGAGTTTTGGTGTCTTATAAAAGACTATGAAAATTTCATCTGTAGACCATTTTAATGCCTAAGAGTATTTTTTTTAATTTAAGTACTAGGTACTCCAGAAATATTGTGATTTTATTAACAATTATAATATAGCCTTTAGCAATAAGCTATATATATATATATATATATATTTTTTTCTCAAATATTGTTTTTTATGCGAGATATATATATATATATATATATATATATATAAATAATATCTAATTAAAACACATGTTGCTGTCTTAATAACACATCATGAAAATGAAATCTCGTAACTTCACGTATTTTCAACCAGAATTATAGAACATTTATTATTAATTTAATGCAACTATACTTTCTAATGTAATATCAAACTTAGAAACTTCGCGCTTGTTAAATAATCAATATAATCATTATTAGACTTCGGCAAGTATCAACAAAGTGCTCACTAGTGCTTCTGACATGTTAACTTACCGTCTGTCAAACTATCTGAGTATCAGCTTAAACTTCGGAAACATCACTTCAAAAGGTCTCACATCACCTCGTTTCTAGCATTCTAATTTCAACTGTATGTGTTTTATCGGTTAGTTTATTTTGCTAGTAGATACTTTTGATATGTGCTTTTATGATGTGGTTCCGTATGTGGAGTGCGTGACGTAAGAAGGGTGGTAAACGCCAGTGAAGGCTTGTACTAATCTCCGTGTCAGGAAATCGTTTCGCAGGCCATTTGAAACGAGGGTTCGGGTGCTGATCTAACACGCATTTGAGCTCAATATCTTGCGTAATAGTTATTTACTAGTCAATCCTCTTCTTCGAATCAGTAAAGGTTAACTTTGATTAATGAACAATTATAATTTGGTTTTAACTTTTTTTCATGATCTGCTTCACTTAGATCACTTGCAAATTGCTTAGATTAGCTAAACTATGCTTAATGCCGATTAACTTACTAGAGGCTAGAAGTATTAACGCGTTTGTCCTCCATTAATCGTAACGAAACCTAATCAAGTGTACGATGCTTTGATATTACGAGAAATACAAAACCCCATAAGCACAATAAGTTTTGTAACTATCGACAAAGTGAAAATCTATTAAATCTTATACCTATATCATATCGTATTGTTATACTCTTAAGAGAGCGTTTTTTCATACAAAAATATAGCACTGTAAACAGTGATTATATTTTTGCAGTTGCAAAAAGCTATGCTTTTGAACAACTGAAAGGTGTATGTGTAAAAAGGCGTAACACGTATTCTTCTTTTGCAGAGAACATGAGTCCATCAACGCAAGAGACCCGATTGGAACGCGAGAACGGTTCTGAGAGCAAGCCGCCTAGTGCTGAACCTCCGCCAGCGTCACCTCCGTTCTCTCGCGAGCCTCCCCGCACGCCCGATAAGCCGCAATGGAGCTACCCGCCCCCGCCCGTGGACATCATGCCCGGTGGAGCGGCCTTCTGGCAGAACTACTCCGGTAAGATAGAACTTTACTAAAATCTATTATATTAAAGATCTTAAAAATTATTCTTTACCTAGTTTGAAGAGCACATACGGTCAGTCACAACAGAGTCTACTTCACCTGAGGATGTCGTATTATCAACAGTGATGTGTCCTTCGTAGTGTTGTGTTTTTGGGAGTAGTGGTACTGGGATTACTGGTGACAGTGATAGCGCACATAATTGAGGAATGACGGGAGATATTCTTCAAATTATGTATGACACATCATTTTATTTTATTACACGGGGCTCAGCTAATTAATTTTTAACATCTTTAAATACTGCTCCAGCCTCCGGTAAGATAGGTCTTAGCGATCAAGTGTTCTTGACTTTCACGATTAATTCCTTCACAAAAGTTGGCATTGACTTCAAGACTTTTCTTGAAGTCAATGCCAACTTTTGTGAGCTTACTCCTTTCTAAAGGGCCGGCAACGCATTTGCAATTCCCCTGATGTTGCGGTTGATCATGGGCGGCGGTAGTCACTTAACATCAGGTGAGCCGTATGCTCGTTTGCCCCCTCTTCTATAAAAAAATAAAATAAAATTACAAACTAGCCAGAGTCACGATAAGACAACTACATGGTTTCGTAGACACGTCAGTACTTCGCCTAAAGGAAACAATGATTATCACATAACAAGACTCGTCACGTAAACAGTTTCAAATTACAAAATAATAAATGTATGCAAGAAAAAAAATTGTACCGAATCTTAAATTTGTACAAATATTTATACGAGTAATCGACTTCTAAACTTATCAAAAATTCAAGTGTACCGTAGAGGTACAGTAGCTATCGCATCTAAAGCTTCTAATAAAATGCTATTGATACAGATCATAAAAGAGGGTCTGGAAAAAATAAGAAAAAAAATTCGACATGTGAAATTTATACTCGTCATATTACATACCATTGAAGATCGGGAATGCCAAATATTTAAAAGCACAAAATGAACGTTACACGCATTCTCGGGGTTTGTTGTTATTTTATTTGGGGTGAGATTTTAAAATCAATTTGTTTGATTTGAAGAACTACGCAAGATTTATTTTTGCAAATATTATCGCTTTTGTTATTATTTTAGGTCGTAAAATTTAACTGATATTACAAATAACGTTGTAGAAATAAAATGCCTAAGGGCAAAAATAAAAATATTACTCGTTGAGCTGGGCTACAAGCGACGATGTAAAAAAGAATCAATCTCATCCCACGTGTTCGGTATCGGGCGTAGTTTTTTCATTCATATCCGCTTTGTGGAAAGCCTAGAAATTTCATTAAAAATGCACTGGCCTCGGAGTTTAAAATACTATTGTGTACTAGCCAACTCTCACACGCTCAGTTTGATGCTTGTGAAATGTTGCATAGCTTTTTCTGCGGATTTTCATTTAATCTAAATGTCCTTTAAAATGTATTTAAAAATTATAATGTTGCTTAAAAATTATATTGCACACAGTGAAGCCATCGTATAAGCTATAGCCTTGAAATGTTTGTTAAACTTCTCAGTTAAGCAGGTTTATTGTTAGAAAGTATCAATTGCTTGAACTTTTCTTTAATTCGAGCAATAAAACCCAACATTAACATTGATACCCATTACTGTTTCCTGTATTTAACTGACGAGTGACTTTTCCCGATGGAGTACTTTTCAAACAGAAATTGCAACTAATTTAAGTGTTATCCAACCCCAAGTATCTAACACACGCGAACACGCGAATACGAAAGCTAAAAATAAAGGCATTTACAAATATTGAATGGAAACGATAATCCGACAACGGAGCTTAGGTTTTTGAAATTTAGGTTTAAATTAAATAAAATGAATTGAAGTTTATATGTATAGTCATATATGTATATAAATCAATTACCGCGCGTTAGTCTCGTAAAAACTCGAAAATGGCTCGACTGATTTTGATGAAATTTTTTGTGTGTGTTTGGGTCCCAGAAATGTTTTGGATCCGGTAGGTGGCGCTGTAGTCCAAATCCGTAAATCACACGTGCAAAGTCGGGGGCGGATCTCTAAAGTAAAGTAAAGTTACAGCCTATATACGTCCCACTGCTGGGCTCAGGCCTCCCCCTCATTTCTGAGAGGGTTTAGGGCAAGGAAGTGTCCGCCGCGCTGCCCAAATGCGTGTTGACGAACTTCACATGTCTTCGAAATATTTTTTTTTCTTATTCCTCAGACATGCAGGTTTCCTCACGATGTTTTCCTTCACCGCCGAGCACGTGGTAAATCAGCACTTAAAATTGCAATTAACAATTTCATTGGTGCCGGCGGGGATCGAACCCGGGTTACTCGCGTTCTGTTATATTTACAGCGAGCGTTAACCACTGAGCTACCACGGCTCTATATCGCGGATCTCTAGTTGTATATAAAAATCAAATGCTATGCATTAATCTCGTAAAAACTCGAAATATGGATCGACCGATTTTGGTAAAATGTTTGTGTGTGTTTGAGTGGGATCCATGTCCTTGGATAGCTTAAGTTCGCAATTGCATCCGGTCGTCGGCGCTGTTGTCAAGATCTATAAATCACCCGTGCGAAGCCGCTGCGAATCGCGTGTATGTAACATACTCGTAAACCATGGGTCTCTGGGTTTCGTGCTGGTTCTTCCAAAGGCAGAGGTTTTTTTCCAAACCGGTGGCGATTAAAAAAGAGCGACTTTCAAAAAATATTATTTATAATCTATAATTGAATAAAAAAGTTTCTGTTTCTGATTCACGAAATTCTTATGATTACATTACTACGGTCTCAAAGTTATGTTACAGCGTCAATATCTATGGATGGTATCATTAGCATGCGGCAGCTTACCGATGGACATAGACCTCTCCCATGTGCTTTATGAAGCCTTATGGTCGCCACACACGGTCAGTTCAACTAATCATTCCAACTGATCAGTTCAAACTAATGAACTGAAATGAGCTGTTGATAATTTTTTAAATATTGGATTTTCGATATATCGATTAATAAACTTATATATAAAACTCCAATATTGATATATTTATAATTATCGATATATCGAAAATCCAATATTTTAAAAAATATCAACAGTTTTAGTTTGAGCTGCTCAGTTGGAGTGATCAGTTGAACTGACCGTGTGTGGCGTTCATTAACTTCGACTTCGAAAGTTGTTGTTCCGTTTAACAAGAGTAGATGTCACTGTTACATAATCTGAACTATGAAATACGTTTTTGATTTCCAAATACTCTAATTAATTGTTATAGCATTCATCCAACATCACTCTAATTACTGCGCTAGAAAGCACTAACCACTGTCGATAACACGACGCGTGATCCATCTCTTAACGAGGAATTAACCGCTAAAGTGGACTTTGAGATTATTGGGGGGGGGGGGGTTAGTGTTGCTAGGCTTAGTAGTACCTACCATTTTATTTTATAAAAATACGAGTAGTATACACACACACACTCACGCACACACACACACACACACACACACACACACACACACACACACACACACACACACACACACAAATGCATTTATAATTTGAAGTACAATATACTGTTAAGGAACTGTTGAAAACATTATGTGATTTATTTGAAAATTGTTATAAAATACAACAAAAATCTTATTAAATAACTAATCTAATGTAATATTTATTTTTCCTAACATAATTTTGTACGTAAAACGTAATTAAAATCAAAATTGGCCCTGGAGTAAAATTTGTCCTACGACGAATCTCCTGCTAGGGAGGAAAACATGTTTTATTATTCCTAAATTAGAAAACTTCGTGCGTTTCCTACAAAATATAAGAAAAAATAAACGTGGAAATTATACTTTTACACAATTGTTAGATAATAAATACAATTATGTCTTTTTTGAGTTTTAGGGTTCAATAGGGAAGCGAATAGCAAGTGTGCCTAATATTTTTGTGATTATACATACCTGTTATTTATTTTCAAAGGCTTATTCCAACTTTAAGCTTATTGTTTCGTAAATTAAGTATTTCCACGTGGCATAACATTATTAAGAAAACCTGGCAGTTCATAACAAACTGCTGAAAAATCTCGTACAAATATAAAGATTTCTTCCGAATATTATTTTACCTTCAGTATACAAAATGTTTTATTTTCAAATGTTTTATTGTCAAAAAGTACTTTGAGCTTGGGACGTTAAAGAATTCATAATTCAATCAGATCCATTTCCAGTCCATTCGGATGGACTCCACTTGATGGCGAATCAATTTTTGAAATATGATCTAGTACTTAATTTCAATGGCAATTCCTTTCCCTGCTTATCGTACGTAGTCAGCGCACGCTCTGCGCTAGAAAGATGCGAGGACGATGCAAAAACATATTTACTCTTTTAGATATTTGTAACTAGATATTTAATAAAAACTAGCAATCTGCTTCGGCTTCGCACGGGCGGTTTCTGAATCTCAGCAACAGCGTCACCTACCGGGTCCAAATGTAAATCTAGACCTTCTAGGGATCCATTCAAATACACACCAAAATTTTCATCAGAATTAGTCGAGTCGTTACTGAGGTTTATCGAGACCAACGGACAGAAATTGGTTTTATATATAGAGATAACATAACTTTATTGTACTTTTAAATAATTATACAAAAATTACATGTTAAAATAATTTAAATAACAACGAAATATTTAAAATATATATAACACGAACATCCCTTTTTAATTAAACCATGGACTGAATGGCAAAATGTATCTCAGCCACGCGGTTGAAACGAGTAAACCAACCGATGTTAAATAATATAAAGTTGAAAAATTAATAAAGAGGAAACTTCGCCCAGCTACTTTTTAGGTGCGCTTGTAAAATGAATGGAAATAAAAATTGTACCGCACAGGTGCGCTCGAAGCCTTTGACGATATTAACTTTTTGTTTATGCTGAAGACATAGCTGTGGCGTCGTACCAAGTGATTTCATGCACTCCCTGCCAACCAAAATTCCTTGCGTACTTTAACATTCATCGCTAACGTCGCACCACTTTTAAAAATATAATAAGATAAACGCAAGCAATAACTTTGTTTCTTATGCATTGAATACAAGGCATACGTTACTTACTACAAAAACTAGTTTAAAAGTTGTTTTCACTAAAGGAGTAAACTATTTTAAATGAACCTTATCTTCGTCACGAAGAAATTGAATAGTTGAAAAAAGGTTTTGGAGAGAAATTCTTTAATGGGAAATCAATTCAATCTGTGCCATTAGTCACGCTGGAACACGGTAGCCGCCACAGTACAGTCCATCTTCAGTTCTTAACACTTGTTCCCTATCTAGAGCTGTTTACGTCATTAAAAACATTTCACTCTTAATTTCAAATCTCGCTTGCTACCTATACTATTTAACCCAACCCTTTGTTCTCAACCATCTCAAATATCCCGCTAAAGAATTTTTTATCAGAATATTTCACAGCTGTAATTAATTTGACTCTGAAAATTAACGGAGGTATCCGTTGCGTGATATTTAAAAAAAATAATGAGACCGACTTTTCAATTATTACGTCAACGGTGTTAAGTTTCAAAAAGTTTTAAGTTTACGAACAAAGAACAATTCGTATCGGATCAATGACATTTTAAATAATGTATAAAATAAAAAGCCCAGCAATTTGATCACATCGTGTTTTTGTATAGGCGAAGAGAAACAATTTGTCTCTGTGGGTACATGAATAACGAAAATGTAATTTCTTGCTCGATCCTCTATTTAATTATAAAATCAATTCGTTTCTCCAGAAAGTAATGGACGAGTTGATACATTGAACTTTTTTTTCAAATTTTGTTTATGGAATGCATTGTAACTTAAGGAATTTCACTCAAAATTAGAAGGTACTTAACATACAAAGAAATATATAAACACCGAACGTCGGTTGGACATATTTTAAGATGGTCTCTTTTATTTCATTTAAAATTTGATGCAAATAGGGCGCAAAACATATGCAGTGCCTTTAATTTAATCTAAGACTAATTCGTATTTTTAGCTAGTGATAAAGGGAAGCATAAAAGGCTAACTTTTTATTTAAGTTAAGCGCTCAACCATTACAGCTATTTCAAAGAACAAATAGATTATAGCTCTCAAAGGAACCGGCAATTCAGTTTTAGGAGCGGCAAATGCAAAAATATTACGTATTCAAACAAACCTAATGGGACATTTAGGGGTGCCAGCGAAGTGAAACGGCAAAGGCCGAAGCTTTTAAGTGTATAATATTTAATTGTGACGCCCTAGGCGTATAATCTCGCCCGGGATAATAGGTTTCTGTTTCGGTACAACCCTCGATGGGCGACACTTGTGAGTGTGATGCCCCGAAGCCAGCCTCTGCCGAAACAAATCGGATTATAATTGAGTTTTTTCAACTGACGAATGCTTTTGAGACAGATCGCAATTCACTTCAGCTGCCTTCATTTTTATTTGTCATTGTCTTTCATTAAACGCAGAACAATAGTTATTCTAAGAAAATAAATATAATAATTCAGCCATCTAAAATGTATAATATTAATAAAATAGTAAGTACATAAAATTAAGATACCTTTAATGTAAGCAAAGAAGGTTTTCTCAAAAATAAAACAATGAATATTCAATTGTCAGAAGCTATTTTTAATACTTAATAAGCCAAAGTTTGACCAATATCCCCTCTAATACGCGCGCCAAAAATTAGGATGAGGTTTGTTCGGAACCGTGACCGGGTCATTCGCATAAGGATGAAATACGTAGTCAGTACGTCGAAGTCATTCGGTGTCAAAATGGAGCGGAAAAGCTAAAAAGTTCAACTTTTGCGCATACTCTACAAATGTTATCTGTAGTGTGTGCTGTATAATATTTGTGTAGTATCTATTTGTAGAACTTTGGTATATAAAACACTGTTAGACTGTCAACTTTATAATTGTGTTCGTGACTGCGCATCTCACCTCTCACCCTGTACCTTTCAATTTACATTTAATGACATTCGATTGAAGAAGTTATATCTACGTACTTAATCTTATTGAGTAAATTTTACGTAAAATTATTATATTATATTACTTACAACATGTGAAAAACTGGTTGTATTAACTTAAACCCCATAAAACATTATTTAATGAATTTCTAATTATTTTTGACACAGCAAAGCGACGAACAGTGAAAATATGTCATTAAAATAACTTATTAAATACCCATCAAAACACTTTTAAATAAATTACATTAAAAAAGTTTTTCAAGTTTATCATCAAAACAAGGTAATCGCAACATTTAAAGTTTGAATTATAGGCTAATATCGGGAAGACGAAATTGAATTCCGCTTTGAGAAAATCTTCCATAAAAGTAAGCAAAAAAAAAAACGTGATTCCGATTTCTTTTATATCTCGTAAATTGCAAGAGGCGGCAAGCGTTGCATGAAATTGAATAAGCATATTTCGTAAAACGTAGACGTTTTCGGAGACAATTGCCTTACCTCATCTACTCGTGCCTCTTCACGAACTTTGTCAATTTTCGCGAAATGCTATTAGAAATTCTTCTATGAGCGTATTCTTATTTTCTGAGACTGACATAATATTTGATTGTTATTTTTTACAGTTACTTTTCTCAAAATTTTGTCTTCAAATCATTAGATAAAAATAAAGAAATTATATTCAGTAATGTAAAATGGTACTGCAGCCAGTAGTTACCATCAAGTGGATTTTTGGTTCGTTTGTCGCTCAATGAAACACCTAATTCGTTAATATTATCTTCAGCATTACCATAATTTTAAATGTTGAAGAAAAAGCTACTAGATTAAAAACGTAGACAAAAATGATTTCCTAGTTCTTTCGAATAAGAATTGGAAAATAATAAATTACATCTGTTCAGTCATCAAACTTTAACTAAATTGTAATACCCACTTAAGTAATAATACGGAATTTATTTATATTAAAATCCAATTCAATGGAAATAAACTAACGTACAAGGCTTTAAATCAATGAAGCACTAAGTGGCAACAACCCTTCTTGACGCAATTTATTAAGCGTTTGCGTTATGCCGAGTACGTTTTTACCAAAGGGAATATTGAATATTAAGTTAGGAAGTGTCATATGGATGCAAAGTCCGTTTGATGTCAGCCACTTTCCCCAAAACACTAATGACATTTTCCGGGTCCTCACACTCATACATTAGCGTCGTTTATTTGTGACTCACTATCACAGGAGTGCATTACGTGCATGATAGAAAATAAAATTTCTTGAAACTTAGAGCCTAGTCTTATAATTACCAAATTTCGGAAAATCATTAGACAATTATGATATTTATTTGAAACATTAAACACGCGTTATAAATAATCGATCTTTATAAACCTGTCCGCTACTGAATTTGGGACCTTTCCTGGTGTTGGACGAATTAGTTTTTTTTTCAAATTTGCTTATTACAAGCCAATCCCACCTGGTAATTAGTGGTGATAAAGCCCTAGATGGTAAATAGTATTGTCTAAGTATAACAAAAGCGTATTCACTCTTGCCCTGAAGACGCCCAGACTGTATTCGGACGGAAAGATAGAGCCAGCAGATTATTCCACTCCCTTGTTGTACTCATCACTGTTTGGTTCTAATGAGTGGAATATTGATAACAAAGGGGTGAAGACCTGCCGACCGCCTGGTTGTCTGATGGTGGAAAGGAAAGGGATCATCGATGATGATGATTGATGTCAATAACAAGTCAAAGCTAAGTCATCACAAGTCAACCGCTGAACATACAAATGCCACAAAACACGGTTCTAAGCCGCCCACATCAATTTATTTCCTGCATCTCTTATCAGGTCCCGACCAACCTACATTTCGCTTGCTGGTAGAAGACTGCCACTTAAAATTCTTTCTCCCCCATCCGTTGTCTGTTTTCTGTATATGACCGACCCATTGTCACTTAACCTTTCTAGTTCCGTCATATCCTCTTATAAAGTCTATCTCGCATAGAAGACAGATCTCGTACAAAGACTTTGAAGCCTTGATTTCACTCAAAAACTTCTTCAAACCGTAAAATATTTCACATCAGTCTCGCCGCATGCATTATTCTGTCTATACATATTGTGGTCTGTTTATAACGTGTTGAAGCTATATGTTTAAAATTAAATCGGCAATTCCATTTTTGAAAATAACTTGTGTTTCTTATTTATAACGTCACATGTATTCAACAACTTGTATAACAATATTATGTGTTATTATTAACAGAATCCTTGGCGCAAGAGTTGGAAATGGAGCGCAAATCCCGCCAACAGGCCATGGAACGTGATGTGAAGAGTCCTTTGTCAGAACGTGCCAGCTACTACAAAAACTCAGTGCTGTTCAGCTCGGCCACTTAGCTGACGGGTCCCGGGGCTGCGGACCTCCCCGATAACCAACATTACGACAGTGAAAGTGACGACACGAAGAAACCCATTATCAGTGTTAAGCCTGAGTTCAGAGAAAAATAGGATACAAAGATAGGCGACTGTAAACGCTTTAGACGAGTCTTCGAAATTCTCGAGAAGTAAATTGTTTCGCCCCAAATTTATGGCATAGATTTACTTCAAAATGTTCATGTACATTAATATTTTCATCTTTTAGTTTAGTGCGTAAAATTCGATGTATCAGATCTCGATGAAGTTGTACTTTAAACTGAGATTAAATGTAAATACTGTTATAACGTACTAAGCACGTAGATTGCGTTGAGTTAATGCGAAGTCTAAGGAAATTTTTCTTCCATAGCGAAATTTGTAAATATTTCTTTATATTTTCTAGTAAGTAAGTCGTAACCATTTTATCGACGATTCACGTTATTTATTCGTCAACATTTAATCATTTACGAATCGTACCTTTAAACTTATCGTTAAATGCCATATTTATCTATAAGTATCCATCATTATTTACATTTTATTCGTTAAAGTAAGATGCAGAATATTTTACATTTTTATTTGTGCTTCTAAAGAATGATATAGATATGTCACAAGGAAAATCGATTCTCCGTATGAATAAATGTAGGAATTGATCTAAGACTGCTTTTCGATATGATCAAAACGCTATTTATTCGCTAGTCCAATCAAAGAACTGAACTACAATTGGTTTTCTATAATAATTTCTTTTCTTAACAACAGAAAGCTTTACGAAAATTTCGTCATATAATAAATTTTGATCACTTGTAATATTATTTTTAAATGTAAAATTTTTTACGTTCGACTTACCTATGTATGCGATCAACAATAATATATAATTTATTAAACTTTAGTGCAATGATTAGATGTAACTGAAACTAGTTTTACATTAAACACATAAAAAAACGATAGATTAAGTAAGTGATTGGAAAGGATTGATTTTTTTTAAATTATATTTGACTGAATACAAAAGAGACAGTTACGTTGTACAATGTAACGTGAGAGACTCATCTAGTGTTTCTATTATACGTTGCATACATAAAAATATATCAGTATCTCATCTCAAATCCATGATACAGAGTCGGTGTCTGTGGATGATTATTAACAATAAGTGCGTAGTTTTAAAAATATAAATGATAGCGTTATTTATATTGATGCTTAGTTAACGAAAGGACTTTAAACGTCTATAATAGTATAAATAAGAATTAGACATTGTATGGGACGTAAAATTGGCGCTTGGCTATTGAAGTACACTTTTTGTGAATAAACACATATCCGAAATGTTTGCCAGTGCAACGTCTATAGAAGCTTTATTATTGACACATCTAAAGTATCAATACAAAACAGAGATAGTCAAGCGCCGATCACGATGATCACTTAATACGATTACTTTCATACATCCGAGTATTGTCTATATTGGGTAATGCGAAGTAATGAGTAAAACTTAGTTGTTACTATAAATGTTTAGCTGAACATGTGTGGTTGTAAAAAGGGCATGAATGTGACATTTCGTATTGGTTTCAATTCTGTTATGTACTAAAAGTAAATATATTATAACGACTTGCAAAATTTAATTGTAAATCCAGCGCTTGCGGCCTCGGACCGCTTTTAGCCTTAGATTTTTCTTTTTCAGTTAGATGCCGCGGCTTCCTGTTACTATAAACTTACAAATTGTTTTATAATATGCAATTCATAGAGTAAACGTTTATTATTTATTATTTCTATAATAGTTTTGAATAATTTACTTAAAATTGTGTGTGTGCCTTGTATCGTAGAGGAAAATATCGAGATTAAAAAACAAAATTATCATTTAGTGTTTTCTTTTTACACCTTACCAAATTTTAATGAATTACTAATCATTGTCGTCAACCTTACAGCCTACTTTACTGCATATTTCATTAGGTCGTTAATTAGTACTAGTCTCTACTTGCCAGATTCAAGCGAAATGTAGTCCGAGGCTGTCAATCTAAAAACTTCCTTTCCTATTGATTATCGCTTCCTCAAGCTACATCAATGATCGGCCAATTGCTACTTAAACTTACAGATCCTAACATAGAACACAAAAATCCCCAAACATAGCAGGCATGCAGTGGAGGACCGAGTCTCGGTTCCGTATGGCATCGGTATGTAATGATAGTCTAGATAAGTCGAGACGACGGGTAGCGATTTCAGAGTCTAAAATGACTCAAAGTCGTCGGTTGACCTGTCAATCTGCAAGAGACTTACTTATCGGACAAGCGGCTCCTTGTATAACATTCATTTATTAATATGCTTAAATGATAGTTGTGATATTTAAATATAAAATATATTATTATTAATTACATTTGTTTAATAACTCCTATTCGCATCAACAACACTAAAGTAAGTATAAGCTGCGAAAATATTGAGACAATCACATTTAATATTAACTGACGTCAAACTCGGGATTTTTGTGCAGTATGGATGCTAAAAATATTTAATACCAAATACATTGGAAAAAAACAATTATAATTAAAAACCAAGAACTTGCTTCCGGTGGTCTATTAGACACTAACAAAACGACGAAAATGTGTTTCAAGCAAGCACCTTATTTTGTTTTTCAATGAGCATGCGGCTCACCTGATTGCATGATGTAACAATTCCACAAAGAAGTCATACGAAGAATAAATCTTTTAAAACGCATATATTTTAGTTTAAATAATTATAATACTATATCTGAAGTATATGACATTCCGGGGATGACACGAATAACAATTCAAAATCAGACAAGCCGTTTCGGTTATTGGTGGTCATAAAAATATGATTGCGTTCAGTTGGACGTTAGGTGATTCATTATGTCTATATAATGAATTGACGAATCGCCTAATCGACAAAATCGATCGATTGTGTCGACAAAATCGATTTGATGATTTACTAAATTAACAAATTAAGCTTTTGGGCAATGTCGGGTTTGACCTATAAAGAACTTGACGATTGTCTGTGAAATTATTAACCTTTTTTATAACTTTTGTTAATAAAATAGGGGTGACAAACGACTACAATCACATTCCACCTGAAGGTAAATGAATACCGTAACCTGTAGACACCTCCATCTATTATCGATTAAGAATCGGAATGCAGATGCGTTCTGATCTCGACGACTAAGATAGAATACCTCGTTATTACTAAAACGGATATCCAGTTCTCTGCAGTCACCATACGAAACACAGCAGCATGAAGCTGCTACTTTGCACAGGCATTCTGTGAGAGCCTGGTACTTTCTCTAGATGCAACGTGACAATACCACGTTAAAAGTAGCACACTATTGCTTATGGCGAAAACTTAAAAAATATATTTAGCTCGTTTTACAGGAGTCTTTTTGGAAATCACATTTAAATTTTAAACTGTCAATTTTTTTTCTATTATTCTAAATCTATTTTATTTAGTTGCATTGCGGTTAGTTTGACTTCGTAAGCTCATTGACGTCATGAATTATAACTACAGTATTATCAGGGTAAGGAATAACGTCCGCGTACAGTAATCTTAGATTCAAGAGGACGTTAATATACAAAGTAAAAACTTTTGGACCGAAAATATTACCCTGAAGTATGTCAGAATAGATTAAATTCTCCTCACTTAATATTTATCCAACTGTCGTACATTGCCGATGCTTTGAAAGATCACTTTCAAAACACATGTACGATATAGGCTTCTGTGCGTTTCAATTTTTTGTAAGGAAGTTGAATTGGAAACTGTTTCGAAAGCTTTAACCAAGTCAAGAAATACTCCCAGACATTTCCCCCTGGACCAAATATCCGAAAACTAAGTTCGTTAGAACTGTTTTGTCGTCGGTACTTTTCCTATGGCTGAAACTATATTGCCTGTCGGAAATGAAATTATGTTTTTGTACAAACCATGTCAATCTCATATTCATTATCCTTACGAGTTCAGTTTAGACAATAATGGTAGCAGTACCATTAAGTGGTTTTAGAACAAATTGTCAATTTTTTTATAAAAACTGGTATTATACGATCCAAGCCAAGTGCATTGTCATTTTTCATTGTGCTCAAAAAAATAGAGAATGAAAGGGAGACTCATCCATTTAAAATATTTCAATTTAGAAAAATCGCCGTATTTTTTATTTATTTTAGGCTAGTGTTTGACTACAAACCTACCTGGTGTTAGGGGCCTTTGCTTAACAAAAGTCTATTCATTCTTTCCAAAAAGAACCCCAGGTTGTAATCGAACAGAAAGACAGACGCCGACACAAAGACAAAGAAAACTGTTTTTTTTTTTTATAGAATAAGGGTGACAAACGAAAACACTGTCCACCTGGATGTATGTTAAGCGGATGCTGTGGCATATAGACATGTAGCAGCCAGGCTAATCGGCAATAAATAATATATACCCTGCTGCTACCATAACACAGTAGGCAAAGAAAACATTTATTTCCTAACTTTCCCCGGCTACTGAGATACTGCATATTGATGCGAGATAATTTGACGTATACATTTAACGTTCTAATAAAGAAACAAGAAACAGCCGCAAATATCATTTAGCGCCATATCTTCTTCACACGCCGCTATTGTTATGTATCCGTCGACCATTTTGAAGCCATTTCTTCAACGCCGCAGCTCGCTTCTTCTTGTGTTCCGGAGCTGTGTCCCACGCCACCGCCGCTCGCCGACTACGCGCGCGTCTCTATTATCTAGATGTTAGTGCTGTTAGTCTATGCGACTCTTACAGGCTGATCTTGTCTCAGGGCTCGCGGCCTGCAAGGTCGCGAGCTAATTAAAAAAAGGGAAAGGCAATGAGGTGAAAATGATGATGAGATGGTTTATGATTTCAATCATCATGTCGCCTTTTAGGCGTTTTTTTTCTGAGCTATGTAACCGCAGTCCGAGGGGGGGCGTGCGGACCCCCGTCTCTGACTGCTCAGCTCGTGTCGGTCGATCCTACGCGCGCGTACCGGCCTGCACAACTTTTATAGCCCA